TCTCTCTTTCTCTCTTCCTCCCTTCCCTCTCCCTCTCCCTCTCCCTCTCGCTCTCGCTCTCGCTCGCTCTCTCTCTCTCTTCCCTTTTGCTTTTCTCTTTGGTTTCCTTCTCTTACTCTTACAATCACATTCTCCACACACTCCCACACCCACTTACAAACTCATCCACACTCTCTCATTGTTCACACGTTCCTATATCTACTACTACCACTACTGCTACCAACCTTTTATTCTTCCGTGTCTGTCTCCGCCTGGCCGTGTCCGTGGCCCACCATGACGCCCTAAGATTCGCCCTACTTCCTGGGTTCGCCAATCTCCTCCCTTCTCTGTAGCCGAATCTTGCATGTGTCGCGATTTCGGTGGCTCCCCCTTCGGGTCGACTTGGTTCGGGCGCCATTTTCCACCATCGGTGACGAACCTACCTTAAACCGCTGCCCGCGAACAGACCACTATCCACTGGCAATTGCCCGTCATTCAATCTTTTACTCAAACCGTCCTTCGACTCCCTCTTATTACTTTGATCTTTGATTCTTGCTTGGTGCTTGGACTTCTTCCTCCGGATATCTATTTTTATTCTTGCCTTGAGAGATTTTCTAGAAACTTGTGAGTGACCCAAAGCCAGCCGGTTGTATGCACGGGTGGCAACCATAGCCGACCGCCAGCTGGAGGTATGCATGCGGTTGGGTGCAAAGCGACCTGGATTGTCTCACTTGGGAGCCTCCTCGCCCCTCCTGCACCGCACTCTCGCAGGATGGACTTCCATCGACCATGTTCCTGGTGGTCCGCGCTGCAGCGAACAAATCTATTGTTCGAGTGCGCGCCGCAGATGACGCTGGTTCGTCGCCGCTATAGCCTGTCCGGGTCGCTGCCTCTCACTCCCTGTCGGCCCTGGTTGTCGCGTGCATACACCGCACCCTGTGTATCCCTGAACTGAGGTTTCGCTGACGCAAGAAAGCAGATCCCAGCATAGAGTGACTGGATCCTGCAGTCTCTATAGCCCGCCCTTCTTTTCGCTTCACACAACGTTCCCTCGCTTCATTCATCTCAATCTACCGGCCGTTCGTTTCGCTCCGCGATCCTCTCTCCTACCTCTACTACCAGCAATCCTACCCCATTCGCAGACCACATCTACCATATGAGCCTAAGTTCAAGTCGGCTTCGCTATATCTTCCTCCCCTTTTCTCATCCCTGCGACTACACCGAGACCTGACCCTCGAAGCCGAGACTCTGGATGATGGGCACCACGATACCTAACGACACCATGGATCGCATCGACTGTTCTGCCATTTACATCGATCATCGCGTCAGGTCGGAGCGATGGGTAGATCACAATACCCTGGACCCTGTAACGGACCCGGATGCGCAAGCCCTCCTGCTCGAAGAGCCGGAGTCGCTTCGATCGGACGTCCGAGTGCTGTTGGGGGTTTGTAAACGTATCTATCTTTGTCAAGCCGGCGCGTCGATCGCAACGAAACTAGCCGAGTTGAGCGACGGCGCGGGTAGCAAATATATGCCGATTTTTGCATTTTTCGACATAGATCTGCACGGAGAAGAACCGGCCCTACATCGCCGCCGAGCGAGTCGTGGCTCGTGGGCCGACGTATCGCCTCCCTCGCCCGCGTCGCTGCGCCGTGGATTCACCTTCTCCTCGAACTGGGAGGGGGCATATGATCTGAAATTGCTATCCGGATTATCAACCGATATCCAAGTGCAGGACCTGCCCAATCTGATCGTGCCTGTTGCCATCTTGCGCCCTCCGTCCGGCGACCTTACCAGTGCCCCTACCGACCAACCACCTAGTATATCCACCCTTCCCGACCCGCAACACATTTCCAAATGCCTGGATGCCGGCGCTGTCGACGTTCTCGTAACCCCGCTGGACAGCTGTCGAGCGCAGGCTCTGGTGGTCCATGCTTACCGGACCCGTAAAACTGCCTTGCGAGAATCCGCGCGCTTCCTGTCGAGGAAGAAAACGCGAAAGCACTCGTGGGTGGGGGTGCACGATGAGCAGCCGTATGCTTACCTGCGCGAGGCGATGGTTTCCAAACTTATGAAAGGCATTTGCAATCCAGAAGAGGTCATTGAAGAGTTTCAGGACCGCGAGTTGGATGTCCGCGCCGAGCGCGCGGAACTCGTTAGAGAACAGATTGGACAGTGGAGCTTCACCGCTCACGGGTTCTCTGACGATGAGTTGGTCTTGGGAGCCTTCGAAATGCTCCAGCATGCGTTAAGGGTTCCTGACCTTGGGAAGTGGCAACTGACACCGGGTAAGTGCATAACCTTTTCTCCAGATTTGTCAAAAAGCCCTGCCAGCTGATCAATGGGCTGGCTTCTCTAGGTGAACTTCGGACGTTCCTCCTTGCCTGTCGCGCCTCCTATAATTCCTTCGTCCTCTACCACAATTTCCGCCATGCCATAGACGTTCTGCAGTCCGTCTTCTGCTTTTTGCTCCACATAGGCGCGCTGCCTCCTTATCGATCGGTCGGCCCGGCATCGGGCGACAAATGCTCGATGGCATCCCTGCTCACGCCGTTTGACACCCTGACCTTGCTGATCTCCGCGATTGGTCACGATGTCGGTCACCCGGGCGTAAACAACTTTTTCTTGGTCAAGCTGAATGCTCCCTTGGCTCAACTTTATAACGACAACTCCGTCTTGGAAGCGTTTCACTGCGCCGCCTTCTCACAAATTCTGCGCCGGTACTGGCCGGCCGCTTTCAAAGATCGCCAGCTCCGCAAATTGCTGATCAGCTCCATCCTAGCCACGGATATGGGCGTTCACCAGAAGTTCATGGAGCGATTAGGGTCACTGCAAGAGCGGTTTCATGAGAATGGTTGCACCACGGATGGGTGGAAGCCGCAAGATCTGGAGCTTTACAAGACCCTCGTGTGCGGTCTGCTGATCAAATGTGCCGACATCAGCAATGTGGCGCGGCCGTGGGATGTTGCCGAAAAGTGGACCCAGATCCTACAGGAGGAGTTCGCCAATCAGGGCGAAATGGAGAAAGAGGTGGGAATGGAGACTGCTTTGTTTGGCGGGCCCCCCGAGCTCGGGAACATCTACAAACTTGCCACCGGCCAGATTGGCTTCATGTCGATCTTTGCGCTACCTCTGTTCGAGGGGGTCTCGGATATCCTTCCCGACTTAAAATTTACGGTGGATCATATTCGAGGAAACCAGTTCAGATGGCACATGCTTGCCGACCGAGAAAAGAGCAGACAGACACTGTTACTCGATCTGCGTCCAGATGAGGTGGTTTCTCCGCGCACGCAAAGCCCTATTCGAAGTCTCAAGGGCTTGCGCGCCCCGGTGGCAACCCCGGGCCTAGACACCCCGATCAAGCCCGCCTTCCCTACCAGCGAACCAACCTTGCAAGCGGCTCCGGAAGACTACTTTGGGGCCGTGCACTCGCCCGTGAACTCGGATGAGCCACCCAGTGACTACAATGAGAACAACATCAGCCCTGTGGTATCACCGGATACGCCCGGTCCGTCTATGGACATCACGGGTAGTCCATTCCCAACGGAGATAGAGTCAGGCAAATCATCCGGTATTGTGCCCGATCATGCAACGGTGTCCACTCCCGGAGAGTCACGCACCAGTAGCCATGACTTCTCCACCACGCCTTCAGTACGGCCGAGTGAGACATTTGACGGAGCCTCAGACACCAACCGCTCGTCGACCGACCCGACCATGATGGCCACGGCCGTCCTGGCTAATTCGTCCGCCACGAACGGCGGGACGTCCGGGCCATCTAGTGCCCGCAACAGCTCAATTGAAGGCGTGGCGGAACGACCCAGCAGTTCACGGCAAGCCCCTACCGGGTGTCGCCGTCGCCACGCGAACACTGGCTCCTCGGGACGCATGTCTGGCCTCTCGAGTTCTCAACGGAACAGCTGCACTCGCACCCACAGCGTCAGCACTTACAGCAACAACATGACGCCGATCTCTCCGGCTACCAATGCGACCAGCTTCCTGACGGTGGATAGTGACGAGAAAGGATTTGCTCGGGAAAGTGTCAGCCGGAGCGACAATGAAGAGTGGAGCCGGGCCAACATCCGTCCTGCGACTTCCAATCATCACGAGTCTACCGGTACCGTCTACCCGGTCAACCGTCGGGCATCTGACCCACACACGTACGATGCTGGGAGCAAGCACTTGGGCTCGCCTGCGGGCAATGGGACCGGCAGCTCTGGGCAATCCACGACGACCGCGGGCAGCTCCAAACAAGATGGACGAGGTCGTCCTTGGGGCGAGCCCGGCGAGCGTCACTCGGGCCCCTTTAAACTGGTAAAACGACGGAGTCGTCTCCGATTGGCATTCTGGCGACGCAAGCCACATCATTCGCACCAGCACGAGCTGAGTGGCGAGACCTGACACGATCTTCTGCTTCTTTGGCGTTATTCTGCGATTTGATTTCAAGGTGTTCATGGAAAATCAAGGGGGAACTTGGGTTATGGGCATACGGTGACATTCAGCTGATGACTTGGATTTACGATGGATTGCATGACTGACGACACGGATTGGTGATACGGGGCGGTTGGGCTCAGTGTTTCTGCTTGCGCAGAGGCCTGGGTTCGTGACTCCTTGGTATTTGACGATCTTGACGATATGCTAGTATCGGAAGGACTAGTCTAGTGCCTTCCGGTGCTGGCATGCGAGGGTATTGGCTGACCCTCGCGAACTGCCTTCACTTAACATTTCTTTTCTGTTACATCTGACCATTGTCTGGACCATTTTTTTTTTCTATATTTATGTTTTTATAGTATACAAGAGGACACAGGCTCATGGATATTGGGGGGCACCATTAGAGTCGGGGCGTGAGATGGCGTTTATAAGGAGGTGGGAGGACTTGTGCTCTTTATTGTATTGCATGACAATGGATATTATTCATCGATTGTTTCACTTCCACTTTCTTGCTTGCCGGTATACTTTTTTTTTTTTTTTTTTTGGGTGGGTGATTGATACTCTGATCCTACTTCTATGTGATATAGAATGGTCTATTGACAATCCTCACACTTCTCTTTTTCCTCTTGTTTCTGCTCCTGCTGCTGCAGCCCCAGCTCCCGACCCTTCCTCAACGCCCGATCAGTATGTCCCAAATCCCGTCCGGGATCCACCACATTCCGCACGAGGGATTTCAGCACCTTGACTTCTGGGCGGTTGTCAGTCTGTAGTCAGGAGGGTAGTCGATCACCAAGAAGAACCGGGGGAGACCAAGCAGAAAACATACCGGGGAACCCGCCATCGCGCTTCCGATCCCACAGCACCGATTCGGTGACCGTTTCCTCCTGACCCGCTTCTGCCCCCTCAGTCCCTTCGGCTTGCTGTCCCGAAGCAGAACCCCCCCGCCGATGATACAGCGTCACCGTAAACACCCCCCCCGTCCCCGGCTGCAGCGCCACCTCGCCCAGCTGCGTCGCGAACGTCGAGAGGAGTTCCTGCGCGAACTGTTCCCGGTTTCCCCCCGAAGGTCCCGGCGGGGCCCGAGGGGATCAAATTAGCGCGGTGCGGGGATTGGGGGTGGGAGTTGGGGTTTGGATCGAAAGGTAGGTACAGGTAAAGGTGCGGGTGGGTGATGGGTGATGGGTTGGGGGAAGGAAGGGCTTACGTATGCGGCGCGCAGCATCCATTTGCACTGCGTGCAGTATTGGATGGTGAGGCGGGGGTATTGGAGGTGTAGTTGTTGTGCTTGGTGGTGGTGGTGGTGGTGGTGGTGCTGCTGCTGCTGCTGCTGCTGCTGTTGCGGTGCAGCGTCGGGCGTCGGGTTGGGATTGGGATTGGCAGCTGTGGTGAGGTGGTCTTGGGATTGGAGGGGAAGGGAGCTGGCGTTGGGGGGTGGGGTGTGCTGCTGCGGGAGGGAGATCATTTTTTCTTTGCTGGGGGTGGGGATGAGTTTGATGCGAAGGGCGGGGGGGGGTGAATGGGAGAATGATGATTGAACAATTGGGGATGGATATCGGAAGTGAAGTGTGGTGGTTAGAGTAGGTGGATGAGATGATGAACTAACTACTAGCTAGCCAAGGTAGTCATTGATGATGTCAGCGGGTGGAGTGTAGCTAGTAGCTCTATCTATCTCCTGCACGATCTCCGATCTCATGTCAAGTGTATATACTCAAACCCATTTCACACTACACTAATACTCATTAAACTAGCCCTGCAAATCTATATTACAAGAACTAGGCTCACTCCCCCACTGCCGCTGTCAATTCCGGCTTTTGCTTCTTTTTTTTGGCCTTGCATGCAACTCCTCCTAAACCCATCATGGAAAATCTCACGGCTGAACATAGGAAATATGGGTCCAATAAAAATCACTAGAAAATGATGATGAAGAAAAAAAAATTGCACTGAGAACGGAAGATATGTCGAGCTGGCTGAGTATAGATGGCCGACAAAAAGTATTTGAGAAAAAGACACCCTTGACTAATAGATCTGTAGATCGGATTGAATTGGCCGGTCGGATGTCGAGGACAGTGCACCAGCGCGCATTGAAGCATCGGTCGTTCTTCCGTCATTGGCGTTGTCGTTTGCCGCACTCAACCGGCATCCCAGCAAAGTCGCAGATCAGATCCACCTTTCATGTCGACGGTAGGGTGATGGTGAAGACGAATTAAATAGTCGAGCAGAATGTTAAAAAAAAAGTCATCGCAGGAGGGGATATTAAAGAAAAAGAGAACGCCGTCAGTCGGCCATCGATCGGCGGGTTGAGCGTTCAGAGTCGATAGAAATTATAGACAGTCATAGGTTCCATTACATGACTGTGCAGCAGCCGCCCTGCTGCTGAGGAGCGTATGGGTCTTCCCGCTTGTCGACCTGCGCGCGCTGAAGTTAGCGACCATGCCAATGGTGCATGAGGGTAAATTGCATGAGAGCGTAAATCGCATACCTGACCCCATACGGATGGTACCATAAAGTCGCGAGTGTTGTTGCAGTAGTTGATCAGACTGTGGAATGCGACTGCGGTTAGTGATTTGTCATGCTCACGGCGTGGGGGCCCTTTTTGCGGTCGGGTTTGGGGAGGGGAGGGGAAGGGAAGGGGAAGGCGTACGACAAGGCGGCCTCGGAGACCTTGACGCGGGGACGATCGAGATCCTCCTTTAGACGGGCATTGAGCTCCGTCAGGCGACGGTACTTGAGGTCGGCCACACTTTGCTTCTTGTTCTTGACATCCCCACCGGATCGGAGTTCGTAGGCTGGCATTTTGACTGATTGATTGAGGTTGGTTTAATGTTTGAAAACGGTCGGTCGGGAACGTGAACGGGGCGAGCGATCAAGAGACGGACTCCGGTAATAGTCGAGGGTCTGATCAGTCGAATGGACTACGCGCCGTCGGAAAACAAGACGGAGCGATGGAATGAGGGATCGATAGAGTAGTGGTAGGATTTGCGAATGGCAGCCGGAAGTGAGAGGTCGGAGTCGCTGTTAAGGTTTGCGGTCGGCGCGGTGCAGCAGCTGTAAGGGGAGAGGAAGAAAGACGGGTGGATGAGGATGAGGATGAGGAGGAGTGGTGGTGGTGGTGGTGGTGGGAGGCTGTGCGGAATAAGGAGAGAGGCAAACACCACCAAGCACTGGCAGTAGCAGCAGGAGATTTAAATGAGCGAACTTCGCGGGAGGGGGTGGGTGGTGTGGAGAGTGGGGGAAGAGAAGCGAAGATAAGACAGCAGACAGACAGACAGGCCAGAGAGAGTCGACAGGAACCGTAAGGGTGGGAGGGAAAGCAGAGGGGACGACGATCCAACGGGGAAGAAAAGAGGGAAGAGAAGGAAAAGAAAGGAAGGGCAAGACGGAAGAGTAAGTAAGAAGAGGTAAAGTAGGAAGAAGAGGGAGGGAGGGAGGGAGAGAGAGAGAGGTTTAGTTAGTAGTAGTTCAATTGCTAGTCGGTTCGCTGGTGGGCAATTTGGGACTTTGGGACTTTGGGACTTTGGGAACAAGCTCGGGGAAGGGAAGGAGAACAAGCAGGAAGTGGACGGAGTGGACGAAGTGGAGAGGGGGAAAAAGAGGGAAAAAAGGGAAGGAGTTTGGAGCTACGCCCATTTCAACATAGTAATAGTATTAATAGGGGAGGAGGGGATAATTTATCCTATCCATCTTGAATAATTCTCGACATCCATCCATCCTGCCAATCTTACTACTCACTGCCACTAACTCACTTAGCGGTTAACAAACAAGGCCCCCCCCCCCAAACAAGCGTGAGAGACAACCATTTTGAGGAACCTAAATTTCTAATAGAACAATTGAACAATCCAACAATTGGTGGTGGTGGTGGTGGTGGTGGTGAAGTGTTTCTGCTGTTGCTATAATTCGGAACCCAAACGGCGCGGTTGAATCTAATTTCCCGTCTAGTCGGTTTTGGCTCCTCTTTTTTTCCTCTTCTTACCCTCCCTCGCCCCTGAAGCAAGAACCGACGAAGACAAGGTACCAGACCAGAGACACCGGAGACACCCACTTCGTCATCCTCCAGTTCCTGTCCCTGATCCCTGATCACTGAACCAAATCACGATCATCGGATCCTCATGCCATGACGGGGTCGTCAATCGGACGTATGAGTCGGAGCCTCACGTGCAGCTGGGGGGCTTGACAGTTAATCCGCTGCACAGACTGATCAATGGACAGACACATCAATCCTGAAAGCTTGATAGCTCCGATGGCGATCGGAACAGCTGGCGCTCTGTCGATTGGAGCTCCTGCTCGGTCGATACAAAAGATGAGGAAGTTTCTTGAGTACCAAATACGAATACCACGCAGGATACACGCTCTGGTGCCTCCCTTCCATGGGTTCCGCTCGATTCATCCATTCATCCTATTAATATTGTTCGAGCTCCAGGAAGAATGCGGGTGGCCCAGCCTGTGGAGGACGCGGCACGATGAGCCTCCACCACCACCACCACCACTACCACCACTACTATGCGAAACACTATGAAGAGCACTGTAGATCGCCCTTTAATTCGCATGGTAGCAGAATATACAATCGTACCTAGCACCCTGTCGTAAGATGTAGAGCGCGTCTCGATAGCGGCGGGCGCTTGGGGATGTGATCACGTGATTACCGCGGTCCCAGTCGCTTAACCCAAAGTGGGCAATCTTGGTTTTTTTCGCCGGCTCTCGCACAACGACGGCCCTCAACCACAGCCTCTGCCTGTCTGTCCTCCCTCTCCTCCTCCTCCTCCCTCCTCCCCCCCCTCCCCATAATTCCCACCGGCTTTTGTCGTCTTGGGTCATTTCGCCGACCGTCGCGTGGCAGCCTCTTTTCACTTCAGGCTTTTATCGCCCTCGACCTCTGCTGCCCGCCCGTCGTTGTGCGATCCACCTCTCTTACATCCATCAACAACTGATCGTGTTTCTTACCCGCTACATCGCCCATCATGCCGCCGCCACCCCATATCAAGCCTGAAAATGTCCTCAAGGTACGCGCTGTCCATCGGGAAGATGTCGGAGAACAATCTTGGATCGGGGAGACGCATAAAGAAAAGACCAGATGGGGGGATAAAAGAAGATGATGATGGGGATCCCGTGATGGAATATCAACTAATGGCTTGTTGTCTGTAGAGGGCTCAGGAACTCATCGCCGTGGGTCAGGCCCCCGCCGCCCTCAACGTCCTTCACGAACATGTCACCTCCAAGAGAACGCGCAGCACTCCCATCGTCTCGCTCGAGCCCGTCATGCTCCTCTTCGTCGAGCTGTGTGTCGATCTCCGCAAGGGCAAGTCCGCCAAGGATGGTCTTTACCAGTACAAGAACATCGCCCAGAACACCAACGTCGGCACCATCGAGGTAGGATCGCTTGTCATATCTACCAGCAGACCAAAGACTGACCGAAGGGGGAATTTGTCTTGTGTTGTATAGGTGGTCCTGAAGAAGTTCATCGAGCTCGCCGAGAAGAAGGTCACCGAGGCTCAGGCCAAGGCCGACGAGATCCAGTCTTCCCTGGAATCCGCTGCTCCCTCCTCGAACGTCGACGATCTGGAGGCTATCGAAACCCCCGAGACCATTCTGCTGGCCACCGTCTCCGGGGAACAGTCCCGCGACCGTACCGACCGCGCCGTTGTCACCCCGTGGCTCAAGTTCCTCTGGGAAACCTACCGCACCGTGCTGGAGATCCTCAAGAACAACGCTCGTCTGGAGGTGATGTACCAAACCACCGCCCTGCAGGCCTTCCAGTTCTGTCTCAAGTACACCCGCAAGACCGAGTTCCGCCGTCTGTGTGAGCTTCTCCGCAACCATGTCCAGAACGCCGCCAAGTACTCTGCTCAGATGCACGCCATCAACCTCAGCGATCCCGACACCCTCCAGCGTCACTTGGATACTCGCTTCCAGCAGCTGAACGTTGCTGTTGAGCTTGAGCTCTGGCAGGAGGCTTTCCGCAGCATTGAGGACATCCACACTCTGCTGAGCCTGTCCAAGCGTCCCGCCAAGAACGTCATGATGGCCAACTACTACGAGAAGCTGGCCCGCATTTTCCTCGTCAGCGAGAACTACCTCTTCCACGCCGCCGCCTGGAGCCGCTACTACAACCTGCTCCGCCAGTCCGCCGCGGCTCTTGCCGCTGGTCAGAGCACGAAGAAGGAGAACCCCTCCGTCAGCGAGGCTGACATGACCAAGACTGCTTCTTTCGTCCTTCTGTCGGCCCTCTCCATCCCTGTCATCAGCACCTCCCGCTCCCGCGGTGCGCTCGTTGACGTCGATGAGGCCCGCAAGAACAAGAACACCCGCCTCACCAACCTGCTCGGTATGGCTCAGGCTCCCTCTCGTGCCATTCTCTTTAAGGATGCCTTGAACAAGGGTCTGCTGAAGCGCGTTCGCCCCGAGATCCGCGACTTGTACAACATCCTGGAGGTTGACTTCCACCCTCTGTCCATCTGCAAGAAGATCACCCCCATCCTCAAGCAGATTGGTGCCGACCCCGAGATGGAGAAGTACGTCCTGCCCCTGCAGCAGGTCATCCTCACCCGTCTCTTCCAGCAGCTGTCTCAGGTCTACGAGTCCGTCGAGCTCAAGTTCGTCTACGAGCTGGCTCAGTTCCCCGACCCCTTCCAGATCACCCCCTCGATGATCGAGAAGTTCATCATGAACGGTTGCAAGAAGGGCGATCTGGCCATCCGCGTCGACCACACCGCCGGTGTTCTCACTTTCGACACCGATGTCTTCTCCTCCGCCAAGGCCCTGCACTCCGGCAGCGCCGCCGGTTCTGCCGAGAGCGAGGTCGGCTCCGTCCAGCGTCTTCAGAACACCCCTGCCGAGATTGCTCGCCTGCAGCTTACGCGCCTGGCTAAGACCCTCCACGTCACCTGCATGTACGTCGACCCCTCCTACAGCGAATCTCGCTTGGAGGCCAAGCGCGCTGCTCTTGCCCGTGCTGCGGCCGGTGCTGCCAAGGAGCACGAAGAGACTCTGGCTCGCCGTGTCATCATTGAGAAGAAGAAGGAGGCCGCCACCGATGCTCTGCAGCGCAAGCAGCGCGAGGAGGAGACCCGCAAGCGCATCCGCACCCAGCAGCTCCAGGAGGCTGAGAAGCAGCGTCTGGCTGACGAGCAGCGCGAGCGTGAGAAGAAGCGCATCCAGGATGAGCAGGAGCGTATCCGCCAGCAGGAGCTCAAGAAGCAGCTGGAGGAGCTGAAGAGCGGTGTCAAGGGCATTGACATCAGCGAGCTCGACCTGACCGAGCTGGACGCCAACCGCCTCCGTGCCATGAAGCTGGCTCAGCTGGAGAAGGAGAAGAACGAGCTCAACGATCGTGTCCGCACCACTGCCAAGCGTATTGATCACTTGGAGCGTGCGTTCCGTCGTGAGGAACTCAAGCACATTCCCGAGGACTACGAGGCTCAGAAGAAGCAAGATATGGAGATCTACGAGGCCCAGAAGGCCGAGACTCTCCAGGAGGCCGAAGACAAGCACAAGGAGGCTGTTGCCCTCAAGCACCGTCTCAGCCGCCTGGTGCCCCAGTTCAACAGCTTCCGCAAGGAGGTCTCCGAGAAGCGCCACGAGGAGTTCGAGAAGCGTCGCAAGGCCGCTGAGCGTGAGTTCGAGGCCAAGAAGAAGCAGCGCGTCAAGGAAGTCCAGGAGCGTCGCCGTCGTGAGAAGGCCGAGCGCGAGGAGGAGGAGCGCCGCCGCAAGGAGGAGGAAGAGCGTGTCCAGCGCGAAGAGGAGGAGAGAGTGGCTCGGGAAGAGGAGCGCAGACGCGTTCTGGCTGAGGAGAAGGTCAAGCGTGAGGAGGAGAGAAAGTCAGTGTCCCCGTTTGTTGTGCCCGGTGTTCATCTTACTAACTCTATCAACAGGAGACTCGATGAGATGGCTGCCAGACAGAAACAGCGTGAAGACGAGGCCGAGGCCCGTCGGTTGGCCCGTAAGACAGGTGCTCCTGAACCCGAGCCGGCTGCTGCTGCTGCTGCTGCTGCCCCTGCTCCTACTGAGCGCACTGCTCCCCGTCTCAACCTGGCTCCTCGCACTGCTGCTGCTGGTGGCGGTGGTGGTTGGAGAGAGCGCCAGGCCGCCAAGGAGGCCGCTGCTAGCAGCGCCGCGCCCGCCGAGTCGGCTCCCGCGCCGCGGGAAGAGGCTCCGGCTCCGCGTCGCACGGGTGGTGGCTACGTGCCTCCTCACCTCCGCTCGGGCGCCAGTGCCACCCCGGCCGCGGCTCCTGCTCCTGCCGCGGCTCCTGCTGCCTCGTCGGAGCGGTGGGTGCCTCGCCAAGCCCGCGACTCCAGCTCTTCCCAGCAGCAGCAGCCTTCTTCCCGCACTCAGACTCCTGCTTCCGAAGAGTCCAAGCCCGCCGCCTCCTCCGCGGGTGGTAAGTGGGTGCCCAAGTGGAAGCAGCAGCAGGGCCAGTAGATATCCTCTTCTTCCTACTAGCATGTTTTCTTTTCTCTCTCTCATATGACATGACCGACTTTTGATCTTAAAAAAGTTTTTCTCTTTTTAACTTTCTGGGAAAGAAGCAAGAAAGAAAAGAAAAAAAAATAACCCATCCTCTCGTTACAGAAAAGGGGGCGTGTATGTGTCGTTGCGTGCGTGATTGATATGATGATGATGATGACGATGATGAAACCATCTCTCTCCATCTTTATTTCTTCCCTCTTCTAAAATCCTCCCTCCTTCTCCCCCCCTTACTCTCTCTCGACCCTTTTTGTCTCCTCTCCTTTTTTTTTGAATCTTTCTTCTTCTCCTCCCTCGGACATAAAAGAGATACCGTCATGTCCCATTTCCCTTCCACTACTACACCAACCCTAGGATATGATTTTGTTTACTCCGAGAAACAAAAATAACGGATTGAGGGGACCTAAATACTCTTCCAAGTCTCTTTCTCGACATAGTTGTAGTTAGTCGTGTCTCTTGCTGTTGCGGTTTATCTAATTTGTCTTTTTCGTTCTCGCTATACTGGGCATATGTTTTTTTCTTCTCAATGTTGAACTAGATGCATACATCTCATGGGTGTCTTATATTCACTAAAACTTTCTTTCGCGTAAGGTGTCTCGTGGAGATGCATGATTTTTCCAACTGTTCTCTCCATTTCGTATATGCATCATCGGGTATGATAAATGACAGAAGCGATGCTTGCAAGAAGAAAAATCAAGCCCATTAATGAATCATCACAGGGAGGGAGAGCGAACATAACTGATAGCGGAAATCTAAAGATAAAGAACTTCGACCAGCGAAAGATGGGAAGAGATGACAACAAGAACCAAGAAAGGGCTCTCAATTGCATAAAAGCTTATAGCGTTAAGAAGGTAATGTCTATATACTTGAGCAAGGAAAGAGGAGGAATGATGCGGTGTGTATCGTCGGGAAGGGGAAGTAAGTCATGACAATCTAACAGGTGCGATGATCTTCTTTTTCAGAAACGACGGATTAGATCAAAGATAGGTTCTGTTTATGTATGTGCTTTCCTTGAGAAGAAAGGTTCGAGATGTCATCACATCACGCGGCAGCTACTTCGGCTCCAGGGGTAGCAGCGGCCGCTCCCGCAGCTCCTCCAAAGAGCTTCTCCCGCCATTCGCCGCAAACCGCCTCAAACCCACTGACCACGTCGCCGCAGACGCGGCCGGCTTCGCGGTCACGGAGACGCCGGTCCCAGTCCCCGCGTTCGATCCACCGCGTTCCTTCCTCGCGGCCCTCTTCTTCGCGGCGGAGCTCCGCCACCAGTTCCCGCGCGGACCGGAGTCGTCGCGAGGCGGTGGCGGTCAGTTGTCGGGATTCGTACAGCGTGTCGCTCAGGCCCCGGAGGGAGAGGGTGATGTCGGACGTCTGCGAGACGAGACTCTGGAGGGAGACGAGCGGATTGAGGGCGGAGGACTGCGAGGGGGTGGTGGGCCGGGAGGAGTGACGGGGCTGGTCGGGGAAAGGGTAGGGAAGGTTCGGCAAGAGTTCTTCGTCGATGAGCGGGATGAGTGCGTCAATGGCATCCTCGGACAGGAGCGGGAATGGTGAGAAGAGGAGGGGGTGGATGAGGGTTTGGAGGGCCCGCGTCTGATGGGTTAGATGCGACGTGATGGAGGAGTGAGCGGTGATGAGTCTGGAGGGTATCTTGCGTCAGCACTCCCACTACAAGAAGGGCTACTACATAAACGTACCTCATGGCATTGTTCTCGATGCCGCTCTGAGCGCCCAAATCCCGCAACGCCTCCACCGCTCGTTGGATCACGTAGTCATTCTCACTGCCGTTGTTCTCAATGCCTCGTCGGGCCAGACTCTCGATCTCCGCCATCTGTGTTTCCAGACTCGGGGGCATATCGGATTCCTCAAAGTCCGAGTCGTTCCCGTAGTCGGAGCCATCGTACTGCGACTCGTAGCGGCGGTGTTGGCGCTGGGTGCCATTGCGCGTTTTGGGCCGCGGGGGTTGCAGCGTGGAATTCCGCTCCGGGGAGTACCCGGATGACGGGGTGCGTGTATGGTGGTTGTATGCAGCTTCGTCCTCGCTGTGGGGCGCGTATTGTGCGTGGTCGGGAACCCCGGTGTCCTGCCCGGAGGCGTAACCTCCGTAACCCCCTTCCTCCTCCTCCCATGCGTCGGCCAGCTCATCCGCTAGGTTGCCCAGGCCGCCTCCACTGGCCGCGCCGCCGAAGTCGACCGACATCCGGTGCGATTCATTGATGCTGTTGGCACGCTGCGGGCGCGAGTCGATGGGCGAGGGAGGGGCGGATGAACGAGGCGTGCGAGGCGTGCGAGGCGACCGAGGCGACTGGTAAGAAAATCCGTTGGGAGCGTAGGTGCCTGGTGAGATAGGGTCGAAGTCGATATTGGACGATCGACTCCGGGTATGGCGGTGAGATAAAGTCAGGGGAGGGGGTATGGCCGGCATGGATGCGGATGTTGATGAGTTGGAAGAATGATTGAGTCTTGTAAGGAAATCTGTAGTTTGATGTAGTAGCAGGAGGTCTATCCTCGAGCGAGCAGAAAAAAAGTAGTCGGGAGTCGTCTCAGAATTCGTCAAGTGGGCTGCTGCCACGGGGTAAACAACAGGGGAAAGTTAATATGGGAGGATCGCCGACCGCATCACCAGGATGAGTTGAAGAAAGGACGAATGAGTGTCGAGTAGTGGACAATGAAGGGAAAGTAGACAGTCGAATGTCTTATGGATTGGGCGGGGTTTAGTCGTTAAGATAGGAGCATGAACGAGGGGAAGCAGAAGGAGAAGGAGAAGGGGAAGGGGAAGGGGAAGGGGGAGAAGGTATGGATAAAGAAGAATAATATTGAAGCCGAAAACAATAATCTGCCTGCCTGCCTGCCTGCCTGCCTGCCTGCCTTCCGCTGCCCGCCGCCCAATTCTTAGCCCGTGACCGCCTACAAGCCCCTCTGATTTCATTGCCCTCATTCCTTCCCCGCACCATTTCGAGAAATTGTTTTGACCTCCGACGATACTGCAGTGCGTGCTTTCTCCAACCTCAGCATTCACTTCTTCTTTTCACAATCCAGCTCCCTACCTCTCTCTCCTTTTTTCATAGAAGCTCAATTCCCCCCCCCCCCCCCCCCCCCCCACACCCCCCCCCCCCCCCCCCCCCCTTTTTCCCAAGAAGCCCAAACCCCCCCCCCCCCCCCCCCCAATAACCATCCCACCAACCCCAAAGCAGCCACAATGTCCTCCATCCGCCGCATGTCCCCAACGGACCTCCTCTCCCTCAACCTCACCAACCTCGACCCATTGACCGAGAACTACGACCTGGGCTTCTACCTGAACTACCTCATGCGCTGGCCCTCCCTCTTCAGCAGCGTCCAAGACCGTCAAGAAGGAATCGTCGGCTATAGTAGGCAACCTCCATGACCCTTTAAAAAAGAGCTTAAAGAACCCCAAGCTAACAGCACGCACCAAAAACCAGTCATGGGCAAACTCGAAGAACAGCCCGCCCACATGCGCCACTCGGAACACTACACGCCCTGGCACGGCCACATCACCGTCCTGACCGTGGCGCCCGCATGGCGCCGGCTGGGCCACGCGCGCCGCCTCACCGAGCGCCTCGAGCGGGGCTCCGATATCAACGACGCCTGGTTCGTGGATCTGTACGTGCGCGCCGGCAATAAGGTCGCCGTGGATATGTATAAGGGGATGGGGTGCGTATTTTCTCTTTGCCCTTGGGTTTTGGTGGTGGTGGTGTTAATGCTAATGTTTCGGGGCTTCGCAGGTACTCGGTCTTCCGGCGCGTCGTGGGGTATTACAGTGACGATCCGTCGGGGATGTCGGAGACGGGCGAGGATGCCTTCGATATGCGCAAGCCGTGCAGTCGCGATAAGAATCTGCAGCATGTTCGGGAGAACGGGGAGGAGTTCTTGGTTGATCCGGTGGATGTTTCGTGATTGGGGGTAAAAAGTGGGCATGGGGAAAGTTCTCGGCTTTAGTTCTTCCATGAGGGCGGTGATGTGTACGGTTTTGAGTGTTGGTGTGGAGGTTGCCCTACACTAGCGAGAGATGTTATGTTTGTGCTTGGTTGTTTTCTCGCAAAAGCTTGGTGTTTGGGCGTTGGCAGATCCGATTCGATTTAGATGGCAGTCATCCTGGGATTGATTGTGTGAGACTACGATTTATAACTGTAATTCGTGGCTACAGTTCATGCATGGACAAGGAAGCAAGTAGTACGGTAATCATATATGTATTTTGAGGTATGTATCGTAGGATGATGCTGCAGATGTTTCTTTGCCGCCCCGCAAATCAAGCCAAGTTTTGTTTCTATAACGCCTGCTTTCCCAATATGCAAATGATTGGTATGACCCAAAAACGTAATTCAGATGATACCAGCGTATTATGATATGCTCACTATAAGCAGAGTGCCACACAAGACCGTGGCGACATCGAATTGCTCATAGCTAGTCGGTCTGCGGTGCTTCGCGTTCTTTATGAATCACGAGAGTTAAGCCCGCACCATTAAATGAGGACCAGTACGAGTATATCGCAGGGCCGCGAAGATAGCCGAGGAGGTGATGAGGCAGCACCCGGTAAAGAGCTGCACGCCCAGATATGTCCCGGTGTTGCTGAGAATTGCTCCGCCGATGGGCGTTCCGATCAGCAGGCCGATGGAAGTCACCGCGAAGAGCATACCAAGACGGGTTCCCAGGTCACGGATGTCTTTGGTTATAGAAGCCATCACCACCGGAGGGAGAGAGACAAAGCCGCCGGAGCAGAGACCGTACAAGACAGACAGGACGATGATGCCGGGGACGTTGTGAACACCAATCCAGGCGAAGGCCAGGATTGCAGTGGCCGTTGCAGCAGGCAGAAGCACGTTCATCGGTCCAATGTGGTCGGCGATGAAGTTGGGGCAGATTCGACCAAAGGTCGAGCCCGCATTCAGCATGGCGAGCAGGTAGAAGCCCAGAGTGGCGTTGACGATCTTGGTGTCGATGGCATACGACTGGATGTAGAAGAGGAAGTTGTAGAATCCCAGGAAGCCTAGGAACATTCCGACGCAGAACATGGTGAAGACTGGCTCCTTGAACGCCGACAGCTGCACGAGCTTGCGCTTCTCCTTCGGAGGAAAGCGCATGCGCATGATGCAGAACGAGATGCAGCAGGTCCCAAAGGACAGAAAGCCCACGGCTCGAGTAGCCCATGCAAACCCAGCCCGCCGTTGCAACTGATCCAACATGATAGGGTAAATCACGCCACCAATGCTGCTCCCCGAGGCGGCCAGTCCGTTTGCCAATCCTCGCTTCTGCTTGAAGTACTGGGGTAGGATGGCGACAGACGGAACGAACAGGCATCCAGCGGAAAGACCAAGTAGAATACCTTGGCACAAGATCAATTGCCAAAACTTGGTAGACAGACTAACCATCATAAGACTGAAGGGAAGCATGATGGTTCCGAACCCCAGGAGCGCACGGAAGTATCCTGCGTCAAAGAGAGGGCCTGTCACCACGCCAAAGAGCATGAGGAGGAAAGCTTGCAGCGATCCAATCCAGGCGATCGATGAGGAGGACATGTGCTTCAATGTATTCTCTTCATAATATGTCTGGAACGCACCCCAAGTGTTGATCACTCCCCTAAAGCAGGTCAGCAGCCCGCAAAGACAGGAATACGATAGTTGAACATACCATGAGTTGAAGAACAAGAACCAAGAACCTATCACCTGGATCCATGATATAAGACCGGTATCGAAGGTCGGCTCTGGGGCTTTGTCGTCCGACGGAGAGACAGGGACTGTTTGGCTGCCATTTTGATCAGTGGTGCTGGGAGACTCTGCGGAGACCTTCTCCTTCAGATCAGCATGAGTTCCCATCTTCCACCACGATTATTTGGGGATCGAGATAATCGTCGCGTGGAAGGTCAGCGCCAAAGGCAAGGTAGAGGGAAAGACCGACAGCGTTTGCAATCTTGACACGGCTACAGCAGTCGTGTAGTGACACAAGTATGGAGGCACCGCGAGCGACGACCTGGCACTGCTGATCCCTTGAATATAAAACTGTTGAGCAAAGGTCCGAGTAGCATGATTAATAATGTAATTTTTTTCGGGGCCACGCCCTAGGACTAAGCTTGGAAGCTAGAAAAGTAGAAAGAAAAGCAGACTGCATTAGAGAAAAAGCCGGTCCAGGGGGTCCACTCAAATTTGGCTAAGCCGTGTTGACCCCAGCGACTTGGAGATGGTCAAACGACCAGTCAAGAGTGAATATGGGTGCCAATGGCCTGATGGCTCCATCGGAGGAGAGTATCCTACTGGACGTCCGGAGGGTGGGTTCCGGATATGAGGATGGAGACTCTTGCCGAGGAGGGAGGAGTCCTTACCCCAGGGCCCATCGACCGCATCTTATCTCGGTGATAGCTGGCAATACCACTACTTGAAGGTCGAATTATTCGTCAGATGACAGAAAAGAGGGGTATGGACTATGACCCTGAGATCCTGATCCTGGAGAAGAGGAGACCTATAACCCTGTGCCGTCACTGCCGGGCGTTCGAATGGTCTTCTTGTGGCCAAATTATGGCATGGAGCTCGTGCATGAGCAGGACGATCAAGGCGCATATTGGCGAGGAACAGGGATCAGCAGCGTGCCGATTTATCCAGGCGGAGAAGGAGTTCTCGGGGTCTCAAGTTCTCGAGAATCGAGACTAGTCTGATTATTTTGAATTCTGACGCAGCAGGTTACACTGATTCCGTACCGGCACTGGCTGATAGAGGACGGTCTGGTGGATCATGAGTCAATGAGTAAGGCCGCGGCACGAACCGACTTTTCAGTCCATCCATCCACACACGCACGCACGCACGCTTACATTTGCTCCACTTCCCTTCAACGGGCAGGTCATCCCGGTTATCATGGTGCGTATAACTTGCTGAGGATCCCCGCCACTTGGGCTGAAGCGAGACGGATATAGCAAGTGAAGGCAATAATCTGGAGAATTAGACAGCTGTGATGGAGGAGTGGATGGTGGAGCGGTGGAAATAGGTTAGATACAGGACAGTACAGTAGTTACTGAAATAGGCAAGGCGGAGTATGGCAGAGGATTTTTCGCTTGGCTGATAGAAGAACTGCACCTCAACCACTACCGCTATTCATCAAGTATACTGTTTCAAGTTATCGATCCAATGGACAGTAGTACTCGGAATATATGCGTGACATCAGTTGGAAGCCACATTCAATCTCCGTACTGTCGGCTTAATAACTAGTGGTGAGCTGGCGCCTCGTGCTTTACATGATCTATCATATGCCGCTTATGGTGAGGATCGAGCTTTGCATGGATACCTTGTGTACTGAGCTGAGCACATCACCAACGAAAGACCAATGATTAAACTTGACTATCATCGGATTCCAACTAGATTGTCTACCGGTACAGCTGAGTTGCGGTCAAGGTATGCAGTGGCGAGCAGAATGCGCCAGATATAGCTATTAGCGGACCCGAGCTTCAAAACAAGTATGTCAACATCAATGGATTTTTTTTTTCGTATTTTGCCGTTATAAACTGCAGTGCGTTATCCTTGTGTGCTTTTTTGGTGCGCTCGTCCTAGTAACCTAGGGATTGCTCAAGCCTTTCTGGCTTGCTTCCCTACTCCGAAACTCCAAACGCTATGCTGCCCAAGAGAGAAACACTTAGACCGTGACAATTATGAAGCAAGAAAAGACAAGAGAAACCATTTATCAATGTACAGCCATCCATACCGTCTCCACCCTTTTTTTTACAACAGCTCCTCGCACGTCCAGTCCTCATACCTGTGGACGGGGGTTAGATGTGGCACTCTGGGCTTTTTACAGGACAAGTCGTGCTTACCATCCATCAGGCAGATATCTCCGCACAATGAGAGGAATCTTCTTCTGGTTGAGTTCCTTGATGGCGATCTGCAAAGGATCCGTTTCACCCTCAAGGTCGACAAGCACCGGAGCGTTCATACTGATGTTGCGGTCAGATTTACTGAGCACTCTTCCATTCTGTTTGGAGACATGTCCAAGACCAACCTGATTTGCAAAGCTCGGGTTCCCAAGACACGCGCCCGCTCGTACTTGGTCATGTATGGGGTCGTCGTGCGCTGGTCGTTGGGCACCTTCTTCTCCCGCGCCTGCTCCATCACCTTGCCTGAATAACCGGCATTCGGGTCGCCCGAGACAACAACACGGTCGCCATTCACGGCCGGCGCATAAGACTCGCCATAGTCGTCACCTCCCTCGGGATCCAAATCTTCCGGGTTGAGGAAGTCCTCGGGCTCGTTGTCATCGTACTCCTGCTCCGCGGGCTCGTAGTCGTAGCTGCAAGATAGGAGAAGATCAAAGTCAGATCATCATACATTCTCTCTATATCCAAAGATAGCCGTTCACCAGCTGCGCGAATCCTGGGGTGCGCAATGCTAGCTACAGGTCATATCGAGGAAGCTCTTACTTATCCTCATCGCCGTGATCGCCGTAGTCCGACATGGTGCCGATCGAGATCAATTAAGACCGTAGACAAATGGGTTGACCGTAAAAGAGACGATAAGAGGCGCCGAGACCGCGACGGGATGAGTTGAGGCGAGACAAGGAACGATGCGACAGCCTTGCTTTGTTGAGGTGCAGAAATCGTAGTTTGCGGACCTCCAAAAGGCGGAAAAAGTTCCTGTCGTCTCGTCCGGAACTAGTCCGTTTTAGGACATGTAAGCTCACCGCTTTGGCAAAATTTAATCTGCAGGGCTTCTCTTTCCGGTGTTTTTCTCTTCCCTCGATCGTCGATGCTTCATCTCGTCATCCTTATCATGCTATTGAGCATCTAGGATGATTGAGGTAGCGGGTGACGGAATAATGAGTCAAAAAAGAAAGGCGACCGGGGACCTCCCGAGCCCGAAAAGGCTACAGAAGCTACCGACGCTGGACGATGATGTCGGTACGATAGAGAACATACCGCCATTGCGATAGCATGCCCTTGCTAATACTCACACACCACAGACCCGATTTATCGGGAGAACGACTCCGATGCCGAATATGCGTATTCGGACAGTGACAGTGAAGCGGGCGACAGTCTTCACGATACGCCTGCAACGCCCATGTCGACAACATCCTCCAGGTATCCTTCCGAGCTCAAAACTCACCGCTGCCCCTTCGACGGTTGCACCAAGGCGTTCAACCGTCCAGCACGACTTCAAGAGCATCTACGCTCCCACAATAACGAGCGTCTCTTCCAATGTCCTCACGATGGCTGCGACAAGAACTTCCTCCGAGCATCCCATCTGAACCATCACGTCAAGAGCGCCCACACAGGGATCCGAGACTATGTCTGTGATCGTCCCGGCTGTGGAAAGAGCTTCGTGACAGGCTCCCGTCTCCGACGGCATCTGGCTGCACACGATGGGCGGGATAAATACCGATGTACAGAGTATCCGCCTTGCGACGAGACCTTCCGAAAACACACAACCCTCCAAAAACATATTCTGAGCGCCCATCTTAACCAGAAGCCTTTTCCGTGTGCGCATGTTGACCCCGCCACCGGCCAACGATGTTCCATGGCCTTTGATACCGCCGGGCATCTCCGCGCGCACGAAAGCCGAGTCCACACCGAGAAACGCTTTACTTGCGCTGAATGCGCTCAGCGTGCGGATCTCGAACCAACCACCACGAATACCACAGTAGCAGGAGGAACAGCAACGTTTCCTACCTACGCCCTCCTCCAAGCGCACATCCGCGCCGCGCATCCACCACAATGCCCGCACTGCCCACTCACCTGCTCCACCACCCGCGAACTCCGCCGCCACCTGGAAGTCGCCCACGGCAACGTCCCCCTCTCGGACCGCAAAGTCTTCCCCTGCACCGTCCCCGGATGCGACAGCAGCTTCACCAAGAAGGGCAACCTGACTGTGCATGTGCGCACCGTCCACCAGGGCGAGAAGCGGTTCGTCTGCGGGGAAACTGACCTCTCGGCGTCGAAGCGCGTCGCCGGCTGGCCCGGTGGTGCCGCCCACGGCTGCGGCAAGCGCTATGGGAGCAAGCTGGCCCTCGAGGAGCACATCCGCACGGCACACATGGGATTCCCGAACGCCAAGGCGGAACGACGCCAGCGGCTGGGCTTGGCGCCGAAGGTTTCTGCCCAGCAGCGAAGTAATGCGGCCGCAGCGGGTGCAGGAGCAGGACCGTCGGCGTTGGCGGCGCTGACGGGCGCCGGCTACGCCGAGGAAACGGGCCGCCAGATACCGTGCATGCAGGGAGGGTGCGCGCATCGCTTCCACCGAAACTACGACCTCTGGGTGCATATGGGGAGCAAACATGGGTACTCGGAGGATGAGATTCGAGACCTGTTCATGCAGCGAGCCTTGCTGGCGGAGGATGGCGAGCAACAGTCCTCTTCTACGACTGCGGGTGCTGCTTCTACGACTGCAGCCACGACGACAGCGGCGATGATGGGAGATCTGTTTGGGTTGTACGGATTGGAATTTGACAACGACGACGATGGGCCAGGCTACGAGCCGTATGATCTTAGTGGGAAGTCGGTTGCTGCCGGTCCCGCGGTCCAATATGGGGACAGGGAGGAGAGTGGTGGTGGTGGTGGTGGCGGCTACACGGCGGGAGGGTTTCCCTCTCATAATGACATGATACACGATATTGATTCCAAGATACCCAGCGCGGCGAGTCCTACTGTTGATGACCTGGCGATGATTGATCCTTTGTTGGAGTTTAATAACATGGCGGCATAAAGAAAAGTTCTGATTCTTTTGGGAATGATCTAGTTACTATTTCGGGGCTCTTTTTGTCCTTTTCTCTCTCTCTTAGATTATGGGGTACCATGGCTGATCACTTCCGGGAACTTCATTGAAAAGTTCAACTATCTTTATTCCAAGTTTGGTCTCATCAACCTTTCCTCTGAGTAAAATGTGTACACCACATTCTAGAAGCGATGTACAAGCAGGGCTGTGACAAGCTGCTCACTTATACAAAAATGCAATAGGCAGCACCGCAGAGTGTCGACTATCATAGCCACTGCCCCGAACTTAGTGTACTGTATATGCCCTAATCACCAACTCTCATTGACGATCCAAGCTACCAACCAGTGAACTCAAGAACCAAGCCAAGAATGAGAATCTGGCAAAGGAGAGGACTATCAACAGCTTACACAATTCTATATCTGTTTGTCTCCAACTCACCTCCTTATCCCTTCATTCTATTTTGATATGTCCTTCTTGAAAGATCTTCTGGATTAAATACATAAGAAAATAACAAAGATAGCAATCCCTCCAAGCGGGCCCTGGATGGAATTATGCACATTTTCTTATTTTGGGGTTTCTCAACATCAACAAAAATCAATCAAAACCAACGCGCGGCCTCCGTCCAGATGATTGAGACAACCTGGGTTCCTGGAAAGATCAAGATTCGTCGAAGATGTGAAGCAAGACTGAAATGTAAATGTATCAACAAGATTCTTCCTGGGCGGTAGGGGGAAGGAAAGGCTTGGGAGTAAGTGTAAGGTAAGAAAAATAAGAGTGATTTGGTCTTTTCACTGCACTCTCTGGTGAACGGAGAGTTAGGAACGGAGAGATTCGGCTCGTGATTGAAGTGATCAATACGTGCCAATTCTCGGCGTTTCATCTCAACGGTAGCAGAGTCGAAGCGAATGTTCAGGGGGAAGAGAAGTATTGATCGGGGTATGGACGTAGATGAATGGACCAGCTGAAGCCGGGATTAGGCGGCCAAGTTTCCTGTTCTCAGAAGAGGACCGAGACGTATTCATCCTTGTCGAAAATGTCAGGCTCCTCTGGCTCGGGCTTGGGTTTCCAAATGAGCTCTGGCTCGGGAACACTGGGAGGACGGTGCTGCACGGGGATCTAAGCGAATATCAGAAAGGTTAGATTTGGCAAGGAAGGAGGGATGAGAGTACTACTTGCCGGATCTTTACGAGGCCACACGTCTGCGAAGCTCACCTCAACGGCGAGAGCATCCTTGATCAGCTGTGCCTGTTGCTGGAACGAGCGTCGAGGGGGAGGGGGTCGTGCTCGACGGACGTCCTTTGCGGTGTCCATGCCATGCAGCGAGACATTCTGCGCCAAGTCCTTCTCCAAGTCCTGGTCTGACCTCCACACGTCCTCGAAATAGTCATCGTTGTCACCTTTCTGGCACCGCTTCTGGAATGGGACGGGGATGCGAGGGTTGGGATTGACGGCTTCCACGGGCACACGGACTTGAGTCAGGTGGCGTAGGAACACAATGGTCTTGGGGCTTGCGTCCTGGGAGGGAACGAGTGATGTGAAGACTCTCGCACAGTCACAAAAGAGGTGCACGGCGGGAAGGCCTCTAGCAAGCGCTAGCCAGAGCGCGGTTTTCACGAGTAGATCGTACTTGTTGTTGCCCACCTGTTTCAATGGCCAATAAGCTAGATCGCCAATGGATGCTTGAGGAGTCGACGCACGAGGGGCCTCAAGAACCACGGGTGGGAGCCATCCCCATTCGCGTGCCTTGTCCGGGTTGTTTTGGCAGAGAAGCTTTTTGTATGCATGGTAGAACATGGTGAGATTCATATTGCTCTGATTGTACTCGTCCCAGTGCAATGTGTCCTTGCAAGCATCGATGCGTAGGTGCTTCATGCTAACGAAGGCTGCGCGTTCAGCTGAGACTGGAAGGGGATTGACAATCTTTCCTGTAAGTTATCAGCAAGAAGAGACGCTAGCCAAATGAGATGGACAGTGTATGATTGGACCTACGCTCCTGCGGATCAAACTTCATAGCAGCGAGAAGGTCCTTCTTGAAAACATTGATCACCTTGGTAGCTGCCTCGAGTTGCTGCCGGGCCTTGGTCGGGTTTGCGCGTCTAAGACTCAGCCAGTAGACAGGGCTTGTCGAATCGCCACGCAGTGGCTCGAGGAGTCTTCTCAGAGTCTCAATCTCCGTTGCAAAGTAAGACTCGTCGGTAATGTTAGTCTTGGGCCGCGGGACGAGCTCATCGAGAACCTGCCCATAGCTCAACTGGAGAAATTTTTCGAGCTCCTTCTGCATGTCCTGCAGTTCATCATCGGTTATGAAGCAGAGCATGAGGAGATGCTCATATGTACCTGGAAAAGCGGAGCTTGCGCGGCCTCGCAGAGCTGAGATCACTTCGTTACGGAAGGTGGATGGATCGAACCCTTTAGTAAACTGGGCTATCGCCTGATCAAGCCTCTCATTCTCAGCTTCCAAGATCTCCTGGTCTTTCTCTTCGATCATGGCGCAGTGGTACGGCTCGTCAACGATAATGTCCATCGGCTGCGTGTCCACCGGATTAGGACCGCCCGGAACATGTGAGAAGTAATCCATGCTGATCAAAAGTCGTCGGAAATAATACATATGATAGATTAGGCTTGACTGCTCTCAGATATGAAGATAGACTCGTCATTTGAAGCGTAGGTTAGAAGCTGGGAAAAGCCCGGATGCAGCCAGACAAAGCCTCAATTCTGAGCGCTGTGAATCTCCCGAAGTGCCACAGTCTCTTGACTGGGCCTCCGGGAATACACACGCTCTTTGAAGATGACTAGTGAGGTTGTAAACAGGAAGAGACTGCGTATTTCCCCTCAGGGAAGTGTCTTGATACTTAGGATGATAGAAGGAATGAGGAGGGATAGAGACAGGAAGGTGTGCAGAGAGAAAAAGGACGGATGCAGATGAGACCGGAAAAAGTTCTGAACAACAAATGCAGCAAAATAACACGGAGGACCTCAGGCAGTGAGTGTATCAGATGGTTATTCAAAGGATCTGGTGTGCTGCGCTCTATCATTGCTTAGTCGGCAGCGCTGTCGTCGGCGTCCTGAGGCATGAACGCACCAAGCAAACATTCTACCGTCCCTTCACTACTTCTCTCGCACACTCAGTATTGTGCCTGAACCTGATTAAGAAACAAAGAAAGGCCCGGTCAAGCAAACTGCATTCGGGTGAACACTGGCAATCCATACTCCTTGCCTGTCATGAGAGCTTGGCATACATCTGTTCATGATAGACGTGGGGAAAGTCCACAGCAGGGTTTGTACACAAATCGGCTGTATGTTCTAAGCTGCAAGTCTATCAAACCTATTAGCAACAAACACTGATACCTACAGACCACTGCAACAAGACATAAGTCTGATGAACCTGAGATGGCATACGAAACAGGTCGAAATACTATCCATGGCATTGTGGACGCCGAGTTCCTCCTCGCAGCGGGCGTATGCTCTCAGCGTCATATCAAACTACACTTGTTGTCAGCATCTTCGATCTCGAGCTGTCCACAGATGATTGAAATGGGCTTATCGATTATCAATGATCTTCAGACTCCAGAACCATAACTGATTTTGCAAATCATGATTTCATAGGCGAGGTGGCTGACATTAAAGGAGAAGACAGGGCTCCAAAAGAATTGCCGGAAGCGCCGAACGATGAGTCGTCCAGAGACGCCAGAAAGTCGAATTTGGCTGCTGCAGTTGAAACTCAGCTAATCATCCATTTGTGATTCGACTGCCAATCTTCTCATACCGGCGGATACCTTGCCCTTCGCCACTCCATGGCAGTCATACAAATTATCGAAATAAACACTTTCGTGTATATCAGGTCCAGACTGGAACCCAGGAAGCGAGGATACAGCACAACAAGCTATTATCGCACTGCAATTGCTGCGTCTGCACTTGCAATCACAGGACAAAGCGGGCAATCACTCTGGTTATAGCGAAGGCCTTTCAGCTATGCGGTTAGGGCTAACTAGCGGAATTCTTAGCGTCCAGAGTCCTTACCCGCCCGGCACCTGAACTTCTTGTTCCTGCTGTTGTGCTTGTTATCGTTCGACTGGTTTCTGCATGCATTGTCTTGATATTGCTTATGATAAAACAGTTACTTTATGTCTTTTGCTCCCTAGCTGGACTAGTCTGATCTCTTTCCCATGACTTATATCCAAACGACGGGCGACGACTCAGGTCGCACCTTCCTCTTCGCCGAACACGACTCGACTGTCTTACACCTTGGCTATTATCAAGGAGACCCTTGGCCTCTCCTACAACAAGTTGACGACCTTCTCATATGAATACAGCTGACCTACAAATAAGCGGAGTAAGAAAATTGATTGGAGCTTTTTCGTGGAGCTGCGTCGCTGAGTTTACAGTTAGGCACTGTACTCCGTCAGTTGAACATGAATGCCGGAAAATCAGTTCCGGGTTCGTTGGCAGGTAAATATGATATCTGATGTCTCGACACGGCTATCATTAGTCCAAAACATTCAAGAATCGAGGTCAGAAACAAGAGCTGAGAGCAATCTCTGAGAGGGGGCTCGGTCGCATACAGGCCAAAATGCGTCTGACCCAGAGGACAGGTGCAGCTGCACACTGAGGCGAAGATTTTCAGCACCAGATTGAGATATCATGCAGCCTATATTTCGACTACTAAATTCGGCACGGTCCAGCATAGTGGGAGTTGGAAACCGAGACGGCTCTTTCTTCAATCATGGGATGACCTTCATCGGCCGAATTAAACGACATGATGGTTACTGTCACTCACTGTCGAATGGGTCGATAAGATAAGCTACTGGATAGCAGCTTATTTCAACTTGGCAAACAACCATCATGCTGCATGCGAGGTGGAATAAGCGGGGTAGATACATGTACTAATTAGTTTAGAGTGAGTGGACAGTGGATCATATGCTATGGCGTGCTGTGCCGGCTTCCATCGTTTCTTCCTCAACCACCACTGTTCACCATCACTATCAAAAGCCCGCCGTCTGTCTGCACTTCCCACCTAACTTTGCCATCTCCATTGCCATCTCCATTGCCCATCTACACTAACTTCAATCCCCCCCCCCCCCCCAAGCCATCCCCATGATGAGCCACTCTGAGGACTTGGACAAGCTGCTGAGCAAGCTCACTCGTAAAGAGAAGATTTCTTTACTGGCAGCAGCCGACTGGTGGCGCACGCGAGTCATAAAGCGCGATGATGTCTTCGTCCCACACGTCAAGGTCGGCATCCTTCGCTCAGTCGACACTTTGCCCCGGTGGCACGCTGCACTTCAACCCAAGCGCTAATATATCACGCCTTGCACAGTTCACGGATGGTCCCAACGGTGCGCGAGGCGAGAGCTATGTTAGCGGGATCAAAGCTGCCTGCTTCCCCTGTGGCACCAGCCTCGGGGCGACCTTTGACCGCGAGCTGCTCTTCCGAACAGGAAAGGAGATCGCGCGCGAAGCCCAGACGAAGGCCGCGAATGTCTTACTCGCTCCTACCATGAATGTCATACGTTCCCCTCGAGGTATACCCACCCTGCAATGTACGCAGTGAGGCACCAGCCAATATTAATGATATCTCCTAGGGGGACGGAATTATGAGACTTACTCCGAGGACCCCTTCGTACTGGGAGTCCTGGCGGCAGCGTTTGTCAATGGTCGGATCCGCAATCGCATACTCCTTCCCTTTGTCGGTTCATTTACCTGATTCAAGTAGGTTGCCAGTCCATGGGTATTGCCGCCACTCCGAAACACTATTTGGCGAACGAAACCGAGAATAGCCGCACAATTCTAACTGCCGAAATTGACGAGCAAACTCTTCGCGAGATCTATATGCTCCCGTTTCAATTGCTGATGAGATGGGCTAAGCCACTTTGTTTCATGACCAGGTATGCGACCAGGTCCTAAGGAAGTGGTCTCGCCGGATATGATTCGACTGACTTGACTTCTTGTTACAGCTATAACCGCGTGAATGGGACATATGTTGCCGATGATCCCCGACTGGTCAACCAGGTTCTGCGAGGCGAATGGGGCTTTGATGGTGTGGTTGTTTCAGATTGGATGGGGGTGTACTCTACTGCAGACAGCATAAATGCGGGGGTGGATCTGGAGATGCCCGGGCCAACGAGATGGCGCGGAGAGAAGCTCGCGCGAGCGGTAAATGACGGGCAGGTAGCTGAGCAGGTTGTCGACGAGTCGGCCCGCAGAATCCTGCAGCTTGCTTGTCGTCTCAATAGGTTCAAGCATCCCGAGGAACCACTCGAAGACGCAGTCGAGAACCCTGAGAGAGACGATTTTATCTGTGACACCGGTGCAGAGGGTATGGTCCTCTTGAAGAACGAAAACATTCTTCCGTTGCCAAAGGGGGTCACAGTGGCTTTGATAGGACACCACGCTATGGAAGCCAGTCTTGGTGGAGGAGGGAGTGCGCGGGTAGATTCTCTGCACGCTGTCTCTCCCATAGAGGGACTCAATCAGGCTGGCTTTCAAGTCAAGGCTGTGCCTGGAGTCCCAGTATTCAGTTCCCTGCCGCATGCTGATCCTTCAATCATGTATTCCTCACATACGAAGACGCAAGCAAAGGAGCCAGTCAAACTAGAATGGTTCAATGGCCATGTGGTTGGGAAAAACCCGGTCTTTTCAGAGACCAAAGAGCAGGCAGAGTACATGATCAAGGAGAAATGGCCGGACCAACTCAATCAAGACTACTGCACCCGAATGACTTTTGATATCCGCCCGTTATCGTCTGGGGATCATATGTTGTCTATCATTTCGACCGGACCTGCGGTCTGCTATATCAATGGTGACAAGGTTTTCGAGAGGTCTCAGGAAACAGACTTGCGCCCGGAATCTTTCTACTTCTTCAAGTCGAAGCTGGAGCGAGGCTTTACCTACCCAATGCAAGCAGGTCAATCATACACGCTAATGCTGGAATCGTGGAACACTGATCCTCTTATTCTCCATGCCAAACCTCTATTCGGTCGAATGTTCCAAGGGTCCGCTCTGCGATTTCATGAGTTCATCGATATACCCAGAAAAATTGAAGATGCGCGTGCAATAGCGCAGGAAGTGGAGTATGCCATCGTCTGCGTGGGAACGACCAACGAGATTGAATCCGAAGGATTTGATCGGGAGTCTATGAATCTGTCGCCCCTGCAGTATGAGCAAATCGCTGCTGTTGCTGCGGTAAACCCTCGCACAATCGTGGTTAACTTCAGCGGAGGACCCGTTGGGCTCACCCAATTTATAGATTCTGTGCCAGCAGTTGTGCAGACATGGTTCCCAGGTCAAGAAGCTGGACGTTCATTGGCACGCGTGCTCGGCGGAGTCACGAACCCCGGCGGCCGTCTCCCCTTCTCGTGGCCACGTCGAGATGAAGACAACCCCAGCTTTGCCAACTTCCCGTGCGACGAGCACAGCGTGATCCGATACGCCGAAGGGCTTGATGTTGGTTATAGATACTATGATCGCCCGGAGAACCCAGAGCCACTATTTCCGTTTGGGTTCGGTCTGTCTTATACTGAATTC